CTGCGGCTGAGGGCGGCGGTGCCGGTGGCCAAGGGCTATGAGGGGAAGAAGGTGAGTAGAGAGAAGCTCTTTGTGGAAGAAGATGTGGCCCGGAGTGAGAAGAAAGAATGACGTGCTTTTGAAGTGGACGTGAGAGGGGGGTGCTTCTTGTTTCTTTGTGACTGAGATGTTATTTTTTGGCCTTTGGCCGAATGCGGATGGTCCAATGGTGAGCTTCAACTCACGTTAGGACCCCCAGGATTTTGCACCCCTCAAGTCCCTGGAGGCAGGAGATGATGGGAACTACGAGCTTCTCAAGGAGAAGTTTGGCGATCTCGAGGATGATCCAGCACTTCCAGAGAACGGCTTCAGCATCTCAGAGAATGTGGAGGAGGAGTACGAGAAGCTGATGCGGTCCACGCAGGAGACTGGACCTGGGCTGGACTGGGTGAAGCACTGGAGTTGTATGTGAGCCATGGAGTGTTTCTATTGCCATGTGGATCATGTGGAGTTTTATTTCAGGCTGTTGATGACAAACACGTGGAAGTGAAACAATAACATGGCCGGGCGAAGAAGATTTCTCCCGTGCCTTTTCCGTGCCTTTTCCATTCTCAAGCAGGCGAGGGACCTCGACCACGCATGACCCGAGGAGTGTTGAATTTCCATGCTGACCAGGAGGAATTGTCGGTGATGCGGCAGCCTTCGGCGGAGGATGTTGCTCAAAAGCAGGCAGATGCTCAGGAGCACCAGACCGACATCATCAATCATTGCACCCCTCTGATGTAGTGGTGTTTGCCATGACTGGTTTCCGCTCACAAAGAAAACAAGTGGGAAGTTTCAGATATACTTTCAACGCAGTTTCCGACCCAAGAACCCTGGAGTTGGAGTGACTTTTGATCCATGTTCCAGGACTTAAAGGCTCAGATCGAGACTTGGGCTGCCTTAGTGGAGGCCCGAATCCACTTGGAGCCCTCGCTGGGTTTGGGCCACCGGCTGCCCACCCCGTCCACGGCGGGGCTCTTCCGGAGCGCCTCATCGCCGGTGGCGGAGGAGGCAGAGGCAGTGGCAGGGGAGGTGCGGCAGCTGCTGGCGAAATGGATGGCGCTGCAGGAGAAGATGGCGCCCTGTGCGTTCCCCAAGTTGGAAGGGAAGGTGCCAAGAAGTGGGATATTGGGTGCCCATGAGATTGGCCGCTTTCAAGAGTTTGCTAGCGGTTAGGGAGTCATGTAGATTCTTTTAGAACTTTTGGACTGCCATCCTCTGAGTACACTTATGATCATTTGTGATCCACTCATCCACCTTTCTTCCTGGCCATGTCCATGTCTCACGGCGGTGTCTCACCTTGTCCACAGCCTCAGGCGGTGTCTCTGGAGCCGGACACCTGGAAGATGCTGGATGCACGGCTTCAGTCGGTGCTCGACTGGGCGCTGCAGGTGGCCGATGAGTGGAAAGAGAGCACCAGGTTGGATGCGAGGAGATCCTTCAAGGCCAGGATTGGTTCGGTGGAGTGATCCAAAAAAGATCCCACTGCTGCGCTTGTGATCATGGTGATTCGTGATTCACTGATCCCTCTTCCTTTTGGGCCGAGCAGGTAGTAGTTGGAGTGGGGGATGAAGCCGCAGCCCTGTTTTTGGGGCGTGTCGGGTGGATTACCTTGCAGCGTTTACATTGCCCGCCCCCGCCTGCCATGCCCCTCGCCCCACTGAGAGGTGCTGGACCAGCCGCTGCGGCTGCAGATGCAGGCCGTCTCGGAGATGGAGCCTGAGAAGCTCCGGAAGCGCTCCACGCCGCCGGCGGAAAAGTACAGTGTCTTCGGCAAGAGCTGTTCGAAGTCGGGGGAGAAGAAGAACTTTGACAGTGAGGACTGGTGATGGGATTTGGGTTGGGGCATCCAAAGAATGGGTTCGAGTCTTAAGTCATTTCACCGCTTTCGGGCAGCCAAGCCGTGCAGAAATAAACAGTTCTGAGGACCACAGCATGGCCAGCTGAGCCTCTTTGCATCTGGCACCAGGAACACAATATATAGATTTCTTTCAAATTATACATAAATTTGCACGCGGCTTCCCAACTCATGGCTCATGCTTCAAGCACGCATGCCTCGTGCTGACCGTCCTCCACCTTCTCCACAGTAGACCTATGGGTGGTAGATGCAGATCTCCTCGGAATCTGGGCAGATCTTCCGCACCAGTCCCAGCTTAGTAGGGAGTCCTCCCAGCGGAGACTCCACGGAGCAGGACGCGGTCTGGGACATTTTCGATGATCGCGAGTTCTATGTGCAGCTCCTGAAGGAGGTGCTCTCAGGCAACGGCGGGGTGCTCAGTCAACGCGACGAGGAGCGATTCCGATTCCGATCCGCTCGGCTGCCACCGGCCTTTCCGATGCAGAAGAACTTGGAAAGGCAGGGGACCACTGAGGGCCCCACTTGGTTTTGACTTCTACGGTTTCGCCTCAGGTCCGGCGTGGTTTCTTCTGTGCGAAGACAGAGGCAATATCCGATATCCAAAGGTTTGGGCAGTACGCCCCGAGATTGCCCTGGTCCAGGGTCCCAGAGCCATCGAAAAGGGAATCAAGCTGTTGCTTTTGCATGTCATCCTGCGAGTCAAGCGAAGGGGATTCAGCAGTCAACCACCAGACCCGGGTTTGAAGGATCATTTTGTGCTTTAAATGGTCGGATCATTCGCCAGGAGCAGCAGCTTCTGGCCGAGTTGCAGGGCCGGCGGGCGCAAAAGCGAAAGGCTCAGCAGGAGGTGGGGCGTCTGGTGGGGTCAAGACTCCAAAAAACGACATGGGGCAGACTTCAGTGGGAAGAAATCACGAAAGGTAGCGGCTACGCTACCTGAGTTTTCCTTTTGCTTTAGCAAAAATGTATTAACCCAGAGCTGCAGCCTATCTCTCGGAGAAATGGTCCCCGACATCTTCGTTTGCTGGCCGGGGGGGGGGGCCCCCCCCCCCC